CCCCACCCACTGCCCCGCCGAGCCCCGCCCCGAGGCGCTCTCCGAGGTGCTGAAGTCCCGGCCCCCGCACCCCGCGCCCCGCGGCCTCAGGGTTTGGCCTTGCCCCACCCTAAGTTTGATACTGTTCTTATCTCCCCACCGCAAAGCCTCCCTGGTGGAGGGTCTAACACCCGGGCATATCAGGTAACTAATGACGGACCCCTAGTCCCCAAAGCCCTGGCTGGCTCCCCCGCAGCAGACAAAGAAGGCAAAGAAGGCGGGAAAGGAAGGTCGCAAAGAAAGGAGAGGGTGGCAGAGAGCAGAAAGGTTTGGAGGTGGCATGAGTTCCCAGTGGATAGGCGGTGGGGTGTTGCATTAGTGACTTGACAGTCCTAAGGTTTGGTTTTCTTATCTGTGAAATGGCGACAATAATACCACTCTCATGGTTGTGAGGATACAATGTAATAGGAATGTGTTGTCACCGGAAGCCTGGCAACACCGGGCTTCTGCACTAGGATCCAGGCCTCATTCCATTCCTGTCTCTTTACCTTGACCCCAAGGATCCTCCCTGGAGGGTCTTCTGTCTGAAGACTGGCCCCAGGCTCCCTTCAGCCCCAACAGTTACTAATGGTGCATTGAGACCTTTCTCTTGGCTTCTCCTTTCCTCAACTTCCCCTTCCTCCTGTCAGGACTTGCCCAGCTTTCTCCCTCCCCATTTACTGCCTCAACTGCATTTCCTGCAAAGCACCTCTCTTTTTGCCCCCCCCCCCGATACCCCATAGCTGCCTTCTCTCACTCTGAAAATTGGGGCTTTTCCCTCTGCTCCCACCTGTTGTCTTTTGGGGTTTATTTTGGTTAAGTTTCCGTTCCCTCCTGCAACTCTGGCCCTGCTAGGTTTGGGCTGTGGTTCCCTCCTGGTCTTCTCTTCCCTCAGAGGGCTAAGCCTGAGCCTATGGGTCTGCAGGGCCCTGTGTTCCCTGGCTGAGTTCTTTCACAGTATAGGCTGCTTGACACTCAGGCCAAGGCCAGGGCCCCAGCTTTGGTGAGTCATAGTGCCTCTGGCCAAACCTCACTGGCTTCTCTGGCCAACTGAGAGAACCACACAGGTCCTGTCCTTCCCCTCTCTGGAGAAGGGGCAGAGCTAACTGTTTCACAGCTTGAGGAATCCTGTTTACAAATCTGGACTGCCAACTGGTCATGCTGGCCCCTTCTTTCAATGTAGCGCCCAGAAAGGAGCTGCAAGCACTCACCTTGCAGTAAACAACCTTTCAGCTACAGCCACAGGAACATTCCAATACTGAGAATTAAAGGCCCTGGCTGCCTCTCTTCTCCCTGCCCTGTCTTGGCCCAAGCCCCTTTCCCTAGGTCCTCATGGTAACCATCTGCTGCTACATTGCCTGGCTTTTCCTTCCAGGAAAGCAGTCTTGCCATCATGGCTAATAATTGTTCCTTAGAGTATGTGCTTGTCTCAGCTAGGGAGGATGGGAAGGTCAGGAGTGTGTGTGTGTAGGAAAACTCTCTTCCAGAAGCTTCTGCTCAAGAACAAAGGAATCTTAGCCCCAGGGCTAAGCCAAAGCCACATTAGAGAGAACTCTGGAGAGGCGATGGGCAGGCCCAGTTCTTGGTGGGAAGGGGGGCAGAAGGGGCTTCAAAACAGGGCCAAGAATGAAATGGGCCCTAGGTCAAGTTGCTCCATTTTCTCCCTTCCCCACTCTGTGCAGGGCAGACTGTGATGTTCCTGGGCCTTGGTGAAGCCCCTTCCCACAGGGAGTTGGCAGAGGGACTACCAAAGCTCCCAGTCCCAGTGGTCTAATCCAAGGCAAGTGTCCCCAGCAGGAAAGCCCACGTGCGCTGCACAGAGAGGGGCCACTCTCCAGCCAGATGGCATGGGGGAAAGCAGCATCCAGACCCTGGGCTTAGCTGTGGGCAGATCTCAACCACCTACCCACACAGCTCAACACACAGCTGCAGCTGAAGTGGTGGCACTGAGGTAAAGATGGATTGAAGGCCTGGGGAGGGCCTGCCACAGAGTCTTGGAGGTAGGGTGTCAGGGGGCTGAGAGGTGGGGTCACCGCAGGACGGTACTCAGGAACCCCAGCCTGAGCTGTAGTGCTCTACACCATTATGGCCAGATGACCCCAACTCTGAGTGCCCGGCCCTGGAGCTGTCATTAGTCTGCTGGGCTGCTCACCTGGGACCAAGGAGGGGCGAGAGGCTCCTGGCTTCAACAGGACCAAGACGGTCTGGCTAAAGCCTCAGCCAGGCTCAGTCTTACAAACCCCGGTCCTCAGACCTCCCACAAGACTGACGACAGCACAGCTTTGCTTTAACAGGATCGGATGTTTATAAAACAAGTGCATATTCACAAACAAACTGCGGGAGAAACACACCTTCTCAGCAATAGAAAATCTCTGTATAAAAGTGCATTTTGCCTGCGACTGGCTCTTCCCCATGCTGGCCCTTGGATCAGGGTTTCTATCACTCTGCAGCACCCCCAGGGCCGCCTGGGCTAGAGAAGGGGAGGCGTGAGGCCCTGGTGGAGCTCCAGGCCAGTGGCCATACCCTCTCCTGCCCTGCCCCTCTGGCTCCAGGGGTGGACTGCTCCATTCCACTGCGAGGTTGTCCTGGGGGTGGGCCAGCATGCCAGGGAGGGTAAAGAAGGAGAGGGGGTGGTCCTGCCAACTTGTGCCTTAAGGGAGAGAGCCACCATCACATTGGCAGGAAAAGGGAACCATCCTGATGTTTGAAGGTGCTGCTAAATACTGAATTTGGCTCTAAGCCCTCGGGCCTTCTGTGTGTCTCAGATTAGCCCTTCCAGGCTCACTCTACTCCTCTTCTGGCAATAGCCCCTGATTCTCTTTCCCCCTGGCTGGGGCTGAGGGAACAGGGAAGCCCCCAGCCTAGTGCTCTGAATACATACCATGTGTGTGCCCTGCTCTCCCCACACGATTACGGGACATTTCTAGTGAAGATGACACTCAACAGTTGGAATCTAATGGCAGCTCTCTGGCTGAGAAAACCGAGGACCTCTCAGGAAGAAGCCTTCAATGTGCTGGACAGCTGTAGGAGACAGGGGCGTGACCCCAGGGCTCTGGTCTGAGGACAGAGGACAGTGAGGGACAGGGCTGGGGCCAAGGGCATTAACAGCTATAAGGCTAGGAAAGGTCACAGGGGAGGTAGAGAGAAGAAGGCCAAGAGGCCAGCTTAATGTTACACGTGAGGACAAAAACCCAAAGAGGAATCAGCCTCTCAGCTACACGAGCACACGGACGCGTGTGTGCGCGCACACACACGTGCACACACACAGACACACACATGAACTTTGTGGCTCAAGTGCAGGCCACAGCGTGGAAGGAAGACTTGCTCCACTTGACGACAGTCCTTCTTTCATTCAGTGTTTCTCAACACAGGCCTTCGACAGCAGGAGGGGAGAGGTGGGTGGCACAGGCCACCCCCGGAATGCGAGGCTTGGGTTCTCTGGGTCAAACCTCCCACCTGATGCTTCGGGAAGGGTTGGTGTGCTGGGTATGATCTCTCCTTTGACCTCTGCCAACTGCCTCTGGCAGTCCCCTGAGTCTATTTGCCTGGGTTCTCGGAGTCCAGCTACTGGGACAGCTGACGTGGCAGCTTGGAGGCTACCCAGTGCAGGGCAGGCCCTGGAAGCCTCCAGAACAAAGACCAGAATGGCCTCCTGGCTGGGGGTCAGCTGTCCTCAACTGGTGGCACTGTGGCCTCGGAGTGTGGCCAGAGGGCCTGGGGCTTTATGCCTTGTGGAGGAGCCAAGTCTGCCCCTGCCCTCCACAGCTCCTGGATAAGCTCCAGGCTGGCTCTCAGCTTCCAAGGAAGTACAGAGCTGGGATCCTCTTCCTAACTGTCGGCTCTCAGCTCTGAAAAGACAGACGTGCTGGCTGAGGCTGCTAGCTATAGTCTGTGCACATATTACCAGTTAGATATCTGGGTGTCCTTCCGTATGGTGGTTGGTGGAAACTTTTCAGAGCCATCATCTGTCCACAGCCTTGTGCTCAGTCCCATGTACCTGAGGAATGGTCTGGAGGATGAGGGCAGGGGGTTTTATGTTGAGGAAGATACCAGGCCAGGTGGCTAAGTCTGGACAGCATCCATCCACTCCAGTCTGCTCAGCCTCCACGGTCAAAATGCAGAACTCGGCGCGGGCTCTGGCTGCATCTAGAATCCCATACTCTTGGCAAGAGTCAAAAATGTTGCCCTTCTGCTCCTTGGCCTGATGTGAGGAGGGCGGGCTGGGACCAGCTAAGGTCCTACCACTATGTTCCGCTCAGACCAGGCCATTGGCTGGCAGGGAGAGGTCTCAGCTGTGACCTCTGGCCTTGTGTCCAGAGGTGGGCAAAGCACTCGAAGTGAAGCATGCTACAGGGACGGCTCCAGCCCAGGCAGCATTCAGAGTCACAGAGTGTAAAGAAATGCATGCACACGCAAACAGGCACACCACTTCCCCTGCACAGGCACACACAACACACGCACACACGTCCTCGCGAGCTCTGTCAGTGTCGGCTTGCCCGCAGGTTGCACTCTGCTGCCACAGTGGCTGCCCTGGCACCCAGGCTTGGCTCACGGAGCAGCGGCTCTGCAGCTGGAAGAGAAAAACAAGTTTTGAAAGGAACATTCAAGAGGCTGCTCAGTCGCCCAGGGACACAAGCTCCTCTGGCTGCTTCTCTAGGGACACTCAGGTTGGGATGCCACTGGGCTGACCACATACTGCCCCCTTGACGTGCTTATACAGGATCCGCTGTCCCCTGCAGACCCCCTGGGCTGCTTCTGCTCCACAGCTAAGGGCAGCCAAGGAGGAGGAGGAAAAGGCCCCGTGAGACTTACTTGAGGCCTTTGGTGACACTTGCTCAGATATGACAAGGGCAGTGTCTGAATCAAGAGACGGGCTGTTGCCAGAAATGGAGAATCAGAAAAAAAAAAATAGCTGGAGGGGAGGCCAGCTGGGAGAAGTAATTTTGAAGAGGAAGGCAAGGACTGAGTTTAGAATCAGCAGGTGAGCAAACTTCCGCATATAGATAAGAGAAGCCTGGTACAGTGCTGCGAGATGGGAGGGGGAGAAGAAATGCCAGATGACTCACTTCAGAGATTTATAATATCCTGAATCTGGGGCAGAGGGAAGAAATGGCCTCGTCCCTGATAACAGACAAGGTAAGCCTGTCCTAATGCTGGATGCCTATTTAAAACAGACGTAGTGTGTCTGGGATTCTGCAGACACACAGTGCTCCATTAAAAGGTTTGTCCAGAGCAAAAGCTAGTAAGTTTCCTGGACACATCCAAACACTTCGAGGGACAGAGTAGCTGGGGCTTGGGGAGCATGGTTTTGGGGGTTATCTAGGTCAACTGGCATAACAAAGTTTATTTAAAAAATGTTCTGCATCCCCACTTTGGGAGCAGCATCTGGGGTCTTAAAAGCTTGCAAGCAGCCATCTAAGATGCAGCAACTGGTCCCAACCCACTTGGAGCAAAGGAGATATGAAGAACACCAAAGACAGGAGGGAAATATTAGCCCAAGAGACTAAAGGTCCACATAAACCAGAGACTCCACCGGCCTGAGACCAGAAGAACTAGATGGTGCCCGGCTACCACCAATGACCACCCTGACAGGGAAAACAACAGAGAGTCCCAGACGGAGCGGCAAAAAAGTGTGCAGCAGAACTCAAATTCACATAAAAGGACCACACTTAATGGTCTGACAGAGACTGGAGGAACCCCTGAAACTATGGCCCCTGGACGCTCTGTTAACCCAGAACTGAAACCATTCCCGAAGCCCACTCTTCAAGCAAAGATTAGACAGGACTATAAAACAAGAAACAATACACATGAGGAGTGTGCTTCTTAGTTCAATCAGATATACGAGACCAAACGGGTGGCTCCTGTCTGGAGGCAGGATAAGAAGGCAGGAAGGGACAGGAACTGGCTGAATGGACACAAGGAACCCGAGGTGGAAACGGGGTGTGTGCTGTCACATTGTGGGGGTTACAACTAATGTCACAAAACAATATGTGCACAAATTTTTGTATGAGAAATTAACTTGAGAATTAAACTTTCACCTAAAGCACAAAAAAAAAAAAAAAAAAGGTTTATCCGGTTTCAATGTTGATGAGGCAGATAATAATAGCACATCTGCTCACTGAGTCTACTGTGGGCCAGGCACTGTACACCTGTGACCTCATTAACCCTCAAGATATGGCCTCCAATTTTACAGAGGAGAAAACTGAAGTGCAGAGAGGATAAGTAACTTGCCCAAGACTAGAGCATTCGTAAGTGCCAGAGCCCATATTTTTACCAGTAAGTAATCTCTCTATTATAGTATCACCCACTAAGGCCTTTACACGACCTAAAATGAAGAAACTCAACATGGTGGCATAAAGACTAATATCCAAGTAACAAAGGTGGGAGTTAAGATGCTACTGGAAAAGGGAAAAATGTCCTCAAGAGTCAAAGACACTGGGCCATCCAAGATACAACAATTAGTCTCTAATTGCTTGGAGCAACAGAGGAAGAGGAGATCTAGGAATTAGAGAAGGAAATGGTCTGCAGCTCTAATTGCCTCTATGAACTACTACCTCCCATGCCATGAGACCAGAAGAAATGGATGGTGCCTGGCTACCATTCCCAAACGTTTTGATCAGAGACTCAATAGATGGATCATGATCTAAAGGAGGAAAATGGAGGAACGGAACTTCAAATTGTTACTGGAAGCCAGAATTACTGGACATGTTGAGACTGGAGGGAACCCTGAATCTACTGCCTGGGACAACTTTTGAACCTTGAGCCAAAATTATCCCATGAAGTCATCTGTAAACTAAACACGAATTTACCTCAAATAAATAAAGAATGCCTGTCTTGAGCTTTGCTCCCTATTTAAAAAGTATCTATATGAGACTGAAATCACAACAGTAGCTCTAAGGCACAGATGAGAACTTTAAGGGGCACAGAGTGTAAGTTAATGGTGGCGAAACAGTAGGGGCAGAGATAGGGAGAATAGTGACACAGTGTGAAGTGTGTAACCATCGTCAATGAGCTGTGCATGTAAAAACTGTTGAACTGCGTATGTTTTGTTGTGTATATTTTCACCAAAATAAATAGTCATTAAACTAAAAAAAAAAAAAGAAAAAGTCAAAGACTTTGGAGACATGCATTCAAAACCAGTCTTCTGTCACATGGAGTCCTCTTAAGGCCACATGCTAAATCTGAAGCAGATTTCCCCTAGATAGTGATATTTTATGCGGAAGCTGGGAAAAATCAAGAGCAAATGTAGGAGTAGCTACCTGTATGGGTCAGTACTGAGTGCCTCGTTCTTTCAAATGTGTATTATTTTCGGCAATTTTCCCCCGTAAGCTTGTACTATAAAACTTAGCCATTTTTTCACTAGAAATAAACATTTGTTACTAAAATGTGTACATATTTATTGAAACATGCTGTCCGCCTGCATTCCAAATACAAGTCTCTCTCTGTCCCTGTTGTTAAGCCAAAGAGATGCCTATTTTTCTGAGACAGAAAATCTCAGGATGGGAGAGTACAGCTCCGCAGACCCTCACCTGGCGCCTCCATTTCCTGTATTTTCTCCACCTGCAGGGACCGTGGGAGATAAAGAATGCTTTCAGATTTCTTAGAACAGGGCTCTTAATCTGGGGTTTCTGGACGCCTAAGGAGTCCAGGGTAGGTCTAGGGGGTCCATCAAGACCCTGAAGTTCTGTGGACATTTTTGTATATGTGCAAATATGTGCAAGTTTCTGGGGGAGAGGCTTCATCCTTCTTCCATCTCATGACTCTCAAAGGGGTGGGTGTAACCCAAAGAGAGGTTAAGAATCAATGCCTACATACAGAAATTGTTGAGGCGGCGTATGTTTCGTTATGTATATTTTTACCACACACACAGAAAGAATCAATGCCTTAGCTTAGAAGGGGGAAGGAGTGCAGTAGGTGGATATAACGGTAACATTCAGACCTATTTGACTCAGGCACGATCTAGTTGTGGGCCAGGCCCATGAAGGGAGTATTCTGGCCTTAAATAAGCCCCAGTAACCCTGGGGGCGCAGTGGTTAAGTGCTCGGCTGCTAATCAAAAGGTCGGCAGTTCGAACCCGCCAGCCACTCCGCAGGAGAAAGATGTGGCAGTCGGCTTCTATAAAGATTACAGCCTTAGAAATCCTATGGGGCATTTCTATTCTGTCCTACAGGGGCGCTATGAGCCGAAATCAACTTGATGGCAACAGGTTAACCCAAATCCTTCAAAAACACCAACACTGATAACCAAGGTTTAGAAGAACCAGCTTGTCTTTGTCTACAAAGCTAGTCAAAAAGCTGTTCAAACTAGTGACTCAATTTGCTTGATCAGCAGATAACTAGCCGGCCCTGTGCTCCTGTTTGAAGCTGGGGCTAAGTCTGCAGAAAACGGGGGCTGGGGAAATCAAATGAGGCCTTGCAGGAAAGTGATGACAGAGCACTAGAGGGAAGGAAGAGCAGCCAGGGGAGAGGCACCCAGGGGAAAATTAACTCATAAAACATGCACTGAAAAATCAATCTCTTGGCTGTCCGACTCCTTCACCTGTCATTAATACAGGAAACACTGAGCAGCTGGAACGAGAAATAAGTTAACAACTGCCTCCCTCTCTGCCCCTGCTATTAGTTAGAATGGCCTCCTGGGTACCCCTGCCGTCACATTCCTTCCCAGCCGTTATATGCCACCAAGGAACCCAAATCCCTGAGTTGATACTTGCCCCGATCCTAGTCCGGGAGGGCTGGGTGTAAGCACGTTATACACACACGTGTGTGTGGGCGGGACCACGACAGCTGAATGTCTGGAGGAAACTTTGTTTGCAGACTGTACCCCATTGTACTCCAATCTAAAATATTTTCTTCTCCCCACTATACTGGGCGAGGCACAGTGCCCAAAAGCTTGACAGAAGCAGAGTTTGGTAAAAAACCAGCTGCTGTTGAACCGATTCTGACTTATGAGTTAAGAGTAGAATTGTGCTCCATACGGTTTTTCAACAGCAGATTTTTCAGAAGTAGATGGTCAGACCTTCCTTCCAAGGTGCCTCTGGGTGGACTCGGAACCACCAACCTTTTAGTTAGCAGCCAAATGTGTTAACCATTTGCACCATCCAGGGACTCCAGAGAGTCTGGTACCAGCCCCAGTTAGGGGAGTACAGAGATGCAGCTGGGCCTTGCCACGGTGCAAAGGTGAAGTGCTCAGCTCAATCCAATTCCTCTTCTCATCCACGCCTTCTTGCCCCATAAAAATCCTATACAAAAGTGGAAGGGATGCCAATCATTCAACAACACTTACTAAGTGCCAGGGAAAGCGCTAGGGACACTGAGCTGAGCTTCTCATTCTCAGGTCAGGAAGTGAGAAGCAGAGAGGTGAGGCAACCTGCGCAAAGTCTCACCGCCAAAGTGGCAGAAGTGGATTCAGACACTGGGCTGAGGGCAAAGCCCAGGCTCTTTCTGAATGCCACGCTGCCTTCTGCTTCCGACAGCTGTGTAGCATTTTAGTCTGTACCGTGCCTTTCTCTACATTATTTCATGTAACGAGGGAGTATACAACCAGACAAGTGTCAATAAAGAGATTCCAGAA